CATAATGTACTATCCCAATGTATACAGGGTGTCCCAGGAGGAATGTGCCAAACTTCGGGAGGGTGTTCCTTATGTTAAAGTATGCCGATATAACCCAAAACACCTATGTCCAAAGTTGAACGGTTACGGAGATAATGGCCAGAGAAGTGTCAAACTTTGACCGGGGTTACACACTTGTTGATTACAAAATACATATTAAAACTGGCAGGAATATGTGGATTCTGTAATGTTAATAATGTACGTAACATCAAACTAACTTGTGAGTGACGGAAAGCCATAAAAGTGAAGTACAAAATACTCGCTCGCCATGTCATAATTGTCCTTAGGTTTCCAAGCAGTATACATAACACATGACTGGCGAGCGATGACGTAACGTGCTGACTGCGCGTTCTGGTATGAGCCAACTACATAAGCACGGCTAGGGAGTATCATCGCACTCAAGGACAAACATAGATAAGGGCTCTCAGCTGAGAGGTACAGCGAGGTACAGTGCTTGGACCTGCCAGAAGACCACACTTTTCTTGGGCCATTATCTCCGTAACCGTTCAACTTTGGACATAGGTGTTTTGGGTTATATCGGCATACTTTAACATAAAGAACACCCTCCCGAAGTTTGGCACATTCCTCCTGGGACACCCTGTATAACAGGAGCATCCAGACTTACTGACCATTAGAGACACATTTGGGTTGCTTCAGCAGGATGGGGTCAACACCAAATGTCAGTTCCAGACAATCAATCTAGAAGTTCTAATGCCAAATATTAACCAACTTCACACAGCTACACCTTTCCAGAGAAGCTACTGTTTGCTCAGCTACTCAGTAAATTACCAACATGTTATGGAATGCAAGGGTTCATTACCATTCACAGCCAGACACAGGCCCCTATCCTGAGCCAGATGATTTCACTCGCATATAGAATACACAGCATCAGCCTAACTTCACACTTTTCTGAGGACAACTGCAACCCATTTGTGCGCTGCCCACTACTTTATATGGTGAAGACACACAAAATGGAACACATATACCAGGACCATGGAGCAGGATCAGTTCTGTGATGCAGTGACAGCCAACGTGTGGCAACATACCAGGTAGAGTTCTGCTGATGCAAAGTTATTGAGGAATGATGTATGGTACAGCTTATGCAAAATGAAGCAAGCGTTCCTTGGAAAGAAAAGTATCAGTAATCAGAGATCACTTGCTCAGAGTGACCAAGAATTAGCTTCGGTTATGATGCAGCTCATTCAGGTAGTGAAGAAAACAGGGNCCTGAGTGCCAAACCACTTTCTTTTTGATCTCATGACAGACTGCTCAGTTTCTCTGCTGATATTCACAATGAAAAGATGTAAGCAAGTCTTTCATGATCTTTTCAATTAAATTCTTAGTACTACTATATTTCTCCACAAGCAGAATTATCCCACCTTTATTAAACTTTCTTTATATAATCAATATACCAAGTATCCCGCAAACAGATATTTTGTCTGTAATGTCCAATATGGCGTAGTTCAGTGTTCTGCAACCTTTTTCTACTCATAGCACACCATGAATTATCCACGACTCAACACGGCACACCAAAATGTTATTCCCCTCAAAAATGCATGATATCAGACAATTAATATAAACATGTAACATGATCAACTTATTACTATAATATTATTATATTGTTATTTTATATCATTAAACAGAAATCGACTCATGCATTTATTAACAATTGATGAACTTTAATTCACTGTAGAGTGTAGAAAATACACTTCTATTACTATTAAAGTGAATACAGTAATTCTACTCATACCCTCAATGTGATACTTGCGCCTGCGTAGCTGCACACAGGCGACTGATCCGTGGTGGAATCGTTGACAACACAAGTTTCATTTCTTCATCAATGGATTTGAGCCACTCCCTCTTTGATGTCTTAATTTCAGTTAACGTCAAGAAGCCCACTTCACACAAATATGTAGTTGAAAATGGCAATAACACATTAACTGCCATCTCGGAGATGGCCGGGTATCCATTCCTTATTGCCAACCAAGACTTATCCAAAGGCACTTCAAGAAGTTTAAATTTCAATGTTCTGTCTGCTTTTAAATCTGCGAGTTCCTCTTGTATATTAATTGGAAGATGTTCTGAATTCACAACAAATGGATCACGAACCCAGTCGAAATCTTGTACACTCTCCAAAATACTTATTGAATTTCTGCTGCAGCATTTCTAAATGTTCTTTAATTGTGTCCATCACCACTTTATTGCTATCAGCAAGTGGCCATACAGTCAGGGACATCTCAAATGACCCATGTGTAATTCTCTAACTAGCAACCAAATCTGAGAACTACTTCAGAGCACAGGTGTGGCAGAACTGAAACAACTGTAAAACGCGGGATCTCTACTCTTCAAATGGAAGAAGTGACACTATACAGACTTATTTTTGAAATATTTATAATTTTAAATGAAGTCTAATCGGTGGGTGCATCATTACAGGAAGAAAGTCATAAAGTTGAAGAAGCTCTAACTTCTAACAAACAGGGGCAAATACCAAAACAGCGTATAAAAGACAGGAAAACCCATGCTAATCCCTGCAGTTTTAGGGAAAAGCACGTACACAGAACATGCGTCAAGTATATCAAAGAAACTGCGTAGATGCGAGAAAAATAAAAATAAATCAATAATGAAAACTATGATATAACAACAACTGTGAGTAAATAATTTACGTTTAATTCCTTAGAATACAATATTACTGTACATAAAAAATCACAACATGTAATAAAGAATAAACAAGCATCTTATTTAATCAGTGCAGTGGCTGAGAATAAAATACAAGCATATGAAACAAGGTAACTGGGATAAAATAAAACGAATAAAATTTGACAATTAATTTCGTACAATAGGTAAAAGTTCATGTCACACCTTTCACCTTGTGACGCCACACTGCCGTAGTTTGTATTCATCTGACCAATCCATAACAGTTATCTCAATATACTCAATCCAGGTGATATATCAATCTGAAACTAACTGATCAACGAATTTACTCACATGTGATGGCAGAAGAGCACAGATAACGTACAGCAAAAAGCATATGATGCTGCTGAATTATGTGTATAAGCTGTCAATCCGTTTCGGTGCTACACTCTACTAATCATTAGCTGAATTAACATCATAACTGTAGGATAATGTCATCATGTCATGTCTGGTTCCATTCAACAAGACAGGACAATCAGCAATCACAATCAAATGGAACTCATTTGCACAGATCTTTTGTACCATGGGACTCGATTCATTTCCCGTAAGTTTGAAAGCAATCAACTCCAATATATTGTAGTATTATACAAAACTGAAGCATGCCACACACAGCAAAACTGTATTACTGTTCCTTTAGCCTAAGCCAGTGGTTCTCAACCTTTATGAAACCGCGGCCCAGTAAGTTCTTTTTTTATAAGACGAGGGCACAGTCCCAACAAATTTACTTGTAAATACCTTTCCAGTTTTGTTAAAGTTCATGCACTAAGCTAATGTAATATTAGTAATTAATTATAGCATAATCATAAAGAGTGTTAGTACACTTATGTATATGGTGTGGCATGATGACGAACATTAAATTACATTTATTTTAGTTATCAATCACTGGACTAATGAACTCTTGCAGCATTTTGTAGTTTCCTCAGACCAACATCATCAATTTAATTTGTGCTAATTTTCATTGACATATCCCATGCTGATCACCAAAAACTTATGTTATTCAGCGCAAAATTGATTATTGTGTTGTTAAATTGATTTTAATGATGTTGGTTTGAAAGAAACGGCAGTGAGAAAAATATTTATGCATTGTAACTCACAATAAAAGTCAGCTGAGTAGGGGAAGAAGCAGAAGGATGTCCACTTGCCAGTGAAACAGTATTCAGTATTACCAGATTTGAGAACCGGATACAGACTGCCTTGATCTTCAATTTCAGTGGAAACATTTTCTTTATACTTCCTTGCTGATTGGTCACTGACATTTGCAACAGAGATTTTATTTCGCTCAGTTCTGAGAACAGAGGATATGCTGCCCATTGTTGTAATCAGTTTGCAGGCAATTTTTATGACTGATCATAAACATCGGTATTGCCTTTCCCAAATGTTGAAAGATTTGGATGTCTGAAATTTCCCGATCATTCATGAATACTTCCATGTTTAAAAATATGCAGCTTGGTCACTGACATTTGCTACACAGATTTAGGTGTTCTGTGTCTGAGCTTCTCGACACAAATATTATTCTCCTCAGAATATTTCCACTGTAAAATATTTATTCATGAAAAATGCTCAGAAAATGAAAGTGACAAATTCCAGAAGAGCCCTTCGCGGCCCAGTATAATTGATGCCAGGGCCCACTACTGGGCCGCGGCCCGGCGGTTGAGAAGCACTGGTCTAAACCCATCTCTGTTTCTCTATGATTTACTGAACACATCAACATGTATGCGCTGATGTGTCTTCAGATGGCTCTGCTGACTGAATGACTTATTACATACATCACAGCAAAATGGTTGCTCCCCACTATGTATGCGCTGATGTCTCTTCAGATTACTCTGATCACCAAATGACTTATTACATACGTCACAGCAAAATGGTTGCTCCACACTATGTATGCGCTGATGTCTCTTCAGATTACTCTGATCACCGAATGACTTATTACATACATCACAGCAAAATGGTTGCTCCACACTATGTATGTGCATATGCTTCTTCAGGTTACTCTGCTGACTAAATGACTTATTACATATGTCACATATAAATGGCCGCTCCCCACTATGTATGCGCTGATGTCTCTTCAGACTACCTTGATCACCGAATGACTTATTACATACGTCACAGCAAAATGGTTGCTCCACACTATGTATGCGCTGATGTCTCTTCAGACTACCTTGATCACCGAATGACTTATTACATACGTCACAGCAAAATGGTTGCTCCACACTATGTATGCGCTGATGTCTCTTCAGACTATTCTGATGACTGAATGACTTATTACATACGTTACATATCAATGGCCGCTCCCCACTATGTATGTGTCCATGTGCTATCAGAATTTGCTCTTGACTGAATGAATCTCCACACTCATCACAGGAATATCGTCGCTCCTCACGATGTACAGGTTGAAGTTCATTCAAATTACCCTGGAAAATGAGAGTAAATAACATGAAAAATCCTAATAGGAAGAGAAATAAGTTTGAAGCTCCAGTAGAGTGAGATGTTAAATCGGTAGGCGTGAGTGTGTTGACAGAGAGGGGAGGGAGGGACAGAGAGAGCACACCCCCCTTTGTGGTGTGTGCCTGAGTCCACCGGCATGTATGGAGGTTTCTGAGTCAACAGACGTTAAGCTGCACTGCCACTGTTGAACAAACTCCAAATTAAATAAAATTATGCATTTGTAAGGCTGGACAGACATCTAATTAACAGTGGATAGGCTCCTAGAATGAAATAACAATAAAACTGAGCTAAAAAATTATACTAAGAAAGGCTGCATATGGCCTGGCAAAACACCACTACACATGACAAAAAAAAAATATATATATATACACACGTGGTGCAATCCAGAAGTTCCCGAAATATATTAATAAAATCTATTACATCTTACCTAGATATTATTCTGCACCATCACCTTCAAAGTAGTCCCCTTGGGAGCACATACACCAATCCCAGCATTTCTGCCACTTTTCAAATGCATCCTGGAAGTCTCTCTTTGTTAGGGTGTTTAGTACCGTCTGTGTTTCCACTTGAATTTCCTCAACTGTATCAAATCTTCACCCCTTCAACTTGATTTTCATCTTGGGGAAGAGAAAGAAGTCGCATGGATCTAAGTCTGGCGAGTACGGTGGGTGGGGAACAACTGCCATCTTGTTTTTAGCCAAAAATTCCTGCACAATGTAAGTCGTATGTGGTCGTGCGTTGTCACGGTGGAGTACCCAGTCGTTCGTGCACCACTTCTCTAGACGTTTTCTTCTCATGTCCTCCCTCAAACGCCTTAGAATATCGCGATAGAACTCTTTATTGACTGTCTGACCAGGAGGGATGAACTCCTTATGAACAATCCCGTCAATATAAAAAAAAAAACAAATCAACATGGACTTAATGTTGCTCTTGACTTGTCAAGCTTTTTTTGGCCGAGGTGAAGAAGGGCTCTTCCATTGCAACAATTGCTGCTTGCTTTCAGGGTCGCAGCCATAAACCCAACTTTTGTCACCAGTGACAACCTTCGAAAGAAAGTTTGGATCCTCTTGATGCGGTTGCTGAAGTTCCCTGCAGACTTCCAAGCGATGCTGCTTCTGTTCATTTTGCAGCAGTCGTGGCACAAACTTCGCCGCAATCCTCCTCATGTTCAGTTACTCTGACAAAATTCGTTGACATGTACCATAACTTAGTCCCATGGTGTTACAGAGGTCTGTGATGGTCAGTCTACGATCTTGCAGAATCAGATCCCTAACTTTCGCGACATTTTCTGGTGTTTTGCCCGTTGACGGCCGTCCTGAACGATCATCATCATCAGTCTATGTTCGGCCATTTTTGAAACGCTTATACCAGTAGTAAGTTTGTGTCTGGCCTAAACTGTTGTCACCAAAAGCTTGCTTCAACATTTGGTGCGTTTCTGCAGTGGTCTTCCCAAGTTTGAAACAAAACTTTATACAGACACGCTGCTCTCTCAGGTCAGCCATTGCAAAACCGCAGACTCACGGAAACACAACAATGGAAATTCGTTCACCAACAATAAACCCAATCACTCATCTCGACACCGCTTTCCACACTGATTCAAGAAGGATGTGTGAGCAGACACCTAGCGCTATTTCAATGTACTCATAACTATTCGCGCGCAAAATTCAAATTTTGGAAACTTTTGGATTGCCCCACGTATATATATGTATGTGTGTGTGTATAAAAGACCCCAAAGAGATGAATAGCATACTGTCAGTTCAACAGACATGTCTACCCTGATACCATGAGCAAATCCATATGAGTCACCTCCAAGGTTGCCACACAAGATTCCTTGACAGTGTAAACGTTTGGCGTTTGCCAGAAAATGGCCACTACTTCTGCATTTGTCTGGGGTGGTACTAGCAGGAAGATGTACAGTGTTTAACACACAGTTCGGTGTATGTTTTGTTTTCTTTTGGCACTACTGCCCCAATTTAGGCCTTGGCCTACCACCATGACACTCTCTGTTTCACTTTGGTTTACAAGATCTCAGACTTCTGGTAGGATTCCTTGGGCGGGTGATCAGCCCGTCACAAGTCTCTACCTGTACACAAAAACAGAAATACACACGCACGCACACACACACACCAAACATTCATGCACTGAGTGGGATTTGAACCCACAATTCCAGCTTCCAAGTGAGTGAAGGGAGTGCATGCCTCAGACCGCTTGGCTACCATGACCAGCTTGGTGTATGGGTGACCATGTGCGAATACTATATAAGGTGTACTGGAAAGTTCCTGGACTAGGTCAGAAAAGAAATACTGACATAACTTACTTCATTTTGTCTACCATCTCTTTCAAAACAGTCTCCTTGGGAACATATACAGAGGTCTCATCGTTTCCACATTTCAAGAGCGGAGTGGAAGACATTTTCCTCAATGCTGCTGAGTACCGCTTGTGATTCCCTTTGGATGTCCGATACTGTTGTCCCTTCAGTTTCATTTTCAAATTGGGAAACAGTGAAATCACAGGGGGCTAAGTCCGGCAAGTAGGGAGGATGGGGAATGAAAACCACGTTGTTAGTCACAAACTCTGTGGCTTTCAGGGATGTGTGGGTGGGTATGTTGCCGTGATGAGGGGATAATACAGTACATGTTCAAATTTTCTGTTGAGATCTCCTGGCAAACTCCATGACTGATCCCAATGGTGTCTGCAAGGTCATGGATTGTTTGGAGACAGTCTTTGTGGACGAGTTCTCAAATTGTTCAATATTTTCTGTCATTTTGCTGGTGCTTGGTCACCCTGAATGTTCGTCACCTTCAACTGACACCTGACCGGCCTTGAAGTGTGAATGCCATTCAAAAACCACTTTCCCACTTAAAGAAGGTTCTCCAAAAGCCTCATGAACCATTTCAAGAATTTTGGCAGTGGATTTACCAAGTTTCATGTAAAACTCTATACATTGCTTGATTTTGCCATTCATTGTAGAAAAAATGGCACACAAAGTCGAAAAAGCGTTATGAGTAAAAACAATGCGTGTTCAGAGCACGGTGTCTTATGGCAGACTGATGCACCAGGCTTTCAGAAGTGTGACCTTGCCCTCCCCTCTCATCTTCTTTCACTGAGGCAGTTACAACATTAAGTCCAGGAACTTTCTGATAGCACCTCATATTGAATGTTTTTTGTCTTTGTTGTGTTTATCTTTAAGTAAATTTATCTTTTTGTATTTGTATAGGGAGGTTCTTATGGTTGTTGACTGGTTCATGGCTCTGCATTTCCTGGCGACCAGCACACAGCCGACTGTGAGTCAAATATGAATTTTGCAAATAAATGAGCATGCCTGATGGGCCATAATTAAGGGAAGTTATTAAATTTGTGGATGGTTTGATGGCATTATGTTTCACGGCAATCAGTGCAGTTCATGCATGGGAATGTGTTTATGATTTGTCAGCAGTGGGTGGCAGTTATCAATTCCATTAGTCATTTGTTCTGTTACTGTTAGTGAGCACTGTGTTCTATCATGATGTGGTATACTTTAGAGCAATGTGCATTTCTGTATGACACATATGCCAAATACAATTCTGCTGGTAAGCGCCGGTGAAAATTTTGTGATGAAAGAGTCCCAGGAGACAAACAATTCACAATTTGGTGAATAAACTTTCAATATTATATTTCAGCATCCTGTTACACTCACACAATATATATGGATAAATACCGTCTTAAGTGCAACAAATTTTATTGTAGTTTTTACTGCTTTTCCTCCTCCACACTACATGTTTCGGCCCTAAATGGCCATCATCAGGTGTGTATCACTCACGTAGCTGTTACACTGCTTTTTAAAATTTAAAATTACCAGTCTTTCTAATTGTATAAAATCTTTGTTAATCTACACGCGTCGACGCGTGTGATTCTTCATCACGCATGGATGGTCTTGAGTACAGAGAGGCTATATATTCACTTCTATATACCTGGTGTCAGAGAGGATCTGTGCCTCTTCTTCCCCTTGGCCCATTATTATTATTATTATTAACATCTCTTGTCACAGGTTTATTTCCTGGCATTCCTTTTCTTGAACCAGCGATGCACCACTCAGGCTTCAAGCTTCGCACTGTAGCACTTTCCGTAGTATGTGTGATGTTCCCAGGATAGCTGTTTTTTGCCATGAATCTATGGAGTGCTTACCAGGTATTAGTTCCAAATATTTTCTCAACCCTCTCGTGACTGTACCCGTGGCTCCAATAATTACTGGTATCACTGGTATCATCATCATCATCATCATCATCGTCATTAACATCTCTTGTCACAGGTTTATTTCTGGGTATTCCTTTTCTTGAACCAGTGATGCACCACTAGGCTTCAAGCTTCGCACTGTAGCACTTTCCGTAGTATGTGTGATGTTCCCAGGATAGCTGTTTTTTGCCATGAATCTATGGAGTGCTTACCAGGTATTAGTTCCAAATATTTTCTCAACCCTCTCGTGACTGTACCCGTGGCTCCAATAATTACTGGTATCACTGGTATCATCATCATCATCATCATCATCGTCATTAACATCTCTTGTCACAGGTTTATTTCTGGGTATTCCTTTTCTTGAACCAGTGATGCACCACTAGGCTTCAAGCTTCGCACTGTAGCACTTTCCGTAGTATGTGTGATGTTCCCAGGATAGCTGTTTTTTGCAGTGAATCTATGGAGT